AGGTTCAACTCAATACTTGTTAATTTAGCTTCTGCTACGTCAAAATTTTAAGTGTCATATCAAATTGGGTTACATTCATTGTAAATAAGAACAGAAGGAATTTATAAAAATAATAATACTTGTAAACTCAACTTATTAAACTATTCAAAATATAAAGAACCTTTTTGAGAACTTCAGAAATATTTATATAATCAATTGCATGTTAATATTTAATAACTTCATCCTCTCACTAACAGTTCTTTTAAACATCTTGACTAAGCAACATTTAATTAGCTGATTTTTAGAATGTAGCTAATTACTCAATGAGCTTTTTTTCTTTAAAATGTTTTGTAATTGAAAATTTCTCCTTTTGGGGCATTTTCCTTAATTAAACTAAATTATTAAGAATATACTCTTCACATTTTCCCCCTTTCATATCCAGATTTTTTACGGNAGCCAAATGGTAAGGTCCAGCTCTAGGCAGTTGTGTGTGTCTGTTCTCAGGGATATCTAGAAGAGTAAAACTGACACCCCCACACAATAGAAGAAACTGTTACTGCGATCTACAATGTCAACGCATCTCTCCCTTTCTCTCCTCTTCCCTCCCTACATTTATTCTCAAAGAGAGTACTTATCTCCAGCATCAGGCTTCCAGAGTTTGCAATTCCGACTACTGGAAAACAAGATAGGTGTTCTTCAGAGTATGAGAGTCCCTTACAACAGAAGACATTATCGTGATAACTTCAGAGGAGAAGATAATGAACTGCTTCTTAAATCTGAGCAGGAAAAATCACTTCTGCAACTAGTGGAGGTATATGCTCTCATATTATTTCTAAGGTTCAACTCAATACTTGTTAATTTAGCTTCTGCTACGTCAAAATTTTAAGTGTCATATCNATGAAGAAATTGAAAGGAAAGAAAGAATATTTACTAATAAAAATCTTGTAGCACAAATTTCTCAAAGCCTTAAAGATTTTGTGTTTCAAATTTATAAATGTTAGTTACAATGTATTTTACATATTTTAAATTTTACCATGTATTCACTTAAAAAAATAATATTTACTTAAAGGCATGGCTGGAAAGAACACCAGGTTTAGAGCTACATGGATTTAATTTCTGGGGAAAGTTTGAAAAAAATATCATCAAAGGCCTGGAAGAGGAATTTACAAGGATTCAGGTATTTATGATGCCAGAAGTTAATATAAATCTACAACAGAACTACTAGGAATTTCATTTTAACAATTTTTTACAGTCCTCTTAATCTTTCATTTTTCTTATATTCTTTTTCTTTCACAAATGTATTTTCTTTAAATATATTACCTTATTGATTTAATTTTCTTTATGTGCAATAAAAATTATACTAAATTAAGGCATTCATTGCAGGCAAGATTTTGTCTATGAAAAATAGCTGAGATTAATAGACTTTTTTCACTTCTACTGAAAATTCCATATTATGATCAATTATAAGCAGAACTAGGCACACAAAGGACTAGCCAAGGTCCTTTTAGCTGTACAACTAAATGCAAGTTGTATTTAACTATACAACTTCCCTTTCACTTTTGTATGTTTGCTGGATCCTTTCTATTGATTCTCAGACAATTTCAATTTTCTTCGCTTAAAAAATACCATTGATTCCTTATTTCCCTCAAGTTACCAGGTCTCACATCCTCTCTTTGTGACTAAATTTCTTGAAAGAGTTGCTTAAATCCTGTATCTTGAGAGGTTTTAAAGCATGGACTTTGAAATCACACTGCCTGTGTTCAAATTCCACCTCTACTTCCTAATAACTATGACAGTAAAGAAGTTATGTAACCTCTCTTTGCCTGACTTTTATCACTGGTTAAAAATATATATATGTGTGTGTGTGTGTGTATACACACACATATATATTCATATCTACTTCAGAGGACTATTATGAGTATGAAATAAAATTAATATTTGTAAAGCATTTAGAAAGGTAGTTAGAATAATTATTTCTTTATCTCTCATCTAATCCTCAACCCACTCTGATATGTCTTTTTGCACCATCATTCATAAATGGCCTCCATGGACGTAAATCCAATGACCACTTTTTAATCTTAATTTTACTTGGCCTCCCAGCAGCATTCAGTACAAATGACTGCTTATTTTTTTTTTCAACATTCTTTTCCCTTGGATATGGTACACACCATTATGTCTGCCTCTCATTCTCTGGCCCTTGTTTCTCTATCTCCTTTACTAGGTCTTATTTCTCTCTCTGACCAACATATAGTGGGGTTTCACAATGCATTGGCTTAGATCCTTTCTGCTGTATCTCTATATTCTTTCATTTGATGATCTCATTCATACCCATAGCTTTAACAGCTTTAACATCTACTTATTCTCCCCAAATTCTCAAACATTTATCTCTAATTTAGATATTTCCTTAGACTTCAGGTCATATATTTAACACCCTACTTCATATTTCCCCCTGGTCCTCTCAGAAACATACCAATAAAACCAAACTTAGAAAATTTCCCTTCCATTCACTCTCTTACCAACTTGATCTTCTATGAGTTAAAGAAGTTTTTCTCCTATAATCCATCTAGTTTGTCACGTCGGACACAGATAAGTGTTTTTGGCACCTCTCTCTTCCTCAACCACTTCTTCAAGATATCACCAAGCCCTACCAATTTTACTTCTGAATAGTTCTCAGATATCTTTCTTTAGTCTACCAACACCACTCAAATGCAAACTTCCCTTGTTCTTCACCTGTCCTAGTCTCTCACCTGTCCTCCCAGTATGGCTCCATTCCAATTTTTCCTCCAAATTGCAGTTTGAGTAATCTTTTCAAAATGCTTAAGGCCTTTTGATGTCTACCTATTGTTTTCAGGATGAAGGTAAAAACCTCAACATGGTCTATAAGGCTTTTAATGATCTCATGTGGTCCAGCCATACTGAGTTTCTTTTGTTAGCTGGGTTTAGCTCTTTGAATTTACCACCACAGTCTTTTGATGTGTTCTCTGGGCTTGGAATGTGCTTCCCTAGGTAAATCTTCTCCAGGTAACTCTTTCCCATTCTTCAGGTCTTGGCTCAAGGAAAACATCTTTAGAAAGATCTTTTCTGACCCCTTTGTACAAGTTATTATGACATTAATAGTGCTCCTGTATAGCATTGTTCATGGTTGCAACTTAATGCTTGGGTGATTATATGTTCAATGTCTTATTCCCACCAGATAATAACCTGTATGAGATCAAGGGAGTCCATTTTTGCTCACAATCTTATCTCTATCACCTTAATATGATGTTTATTGAATAAATAATTGTCAATAATATGCAAACAGTTTCTTACCACACAGTGTGGTTGTTCTGATGAATTGAAAATAACTGGGTTAACTAATTTGCTCCTGCAAAATTAATTTAGTTGTAAGTACAGCATGTTTCATAGGCAAAAAAATAAGAATTTCCTTAAGCCAATCAATAGATATCAAGTGAATAAAATGTAAGAGTGAAAAATAGGTAAGAAACTTTATTTACAGAATGCAATAAAGAATATGGAATTTCAATAAAGTTAACAGTTCTGACTAGGAATTCTTAAGTTTTCCCAAGTGGAATTACCTTACTTCCTGTGTTAAGTAATTGCTGTTTAAAATTAGGTCACTATTAATCATTTCTGGTTACTTCCAATTTTGTCCATCAGGGTCAATTTCTCATAATATTTATGAAGAGAATATTTGAAATTAACAAATCATTTAAAGTTAAATGAAAGTATAGAACCAGTGAGTATGTGGACAGTTCCTTCTTGTGACATAATTTACAAATTGTATATTAGATGACTTGGTAAATACTCCAAGTACACCGTTTCTGCAATTGCGAGTCTCTTTCTCGCAGGCAGTTTTCTAAAATAGGAATCCAGTATTTTGGGGGAAATATTAATGCAGCATTTTTCCTAAAGGCTAACGAAGAGTCAGAGGAAAAAGAGGAACAGATGGCTGAATTTCAGAAACAAAAAGAGGTGTTACTGTCCTTATTTGATGAGAAACGTCATGAACATCTCCTTAGTAAAGGTAGATATTTTTATTCTAAGGATCCCTGGAATGTATGAGTATGAGATTAAAATATAATTTTATAAGACTATCCAGCTTTACTTGGGGGAAATTCAATAAAAATTGATAATTTACTTATGGAAAAAAGAATTGGGTAAATATTATCTATGATAATTCTATGTTAACAGGTTTCTATGCCCAATTTATTTCAAAGACATTAGTAAAATCTTTCATAGCTGTTTCAGATATGAGGAAGTTAACTCACACTCTAAAAGGGGCAGAAATAAAGAGAAATCATTGTAATTATAAATACTATGATAGAGGTAAAAGAAGGAAGGAATAACTACTGTGAAAACAAGTGTGGCTTGGTAGAGGAAATGCTTCCCAGGCCGACCAGGAAAAGCACGCATTTAGATTTTGGTACCACTGATAGAGAGCTATTATTTCCTGACTAATTCATCAGTAATATCAGTACCTTCATTATTTATCTCTTCTCTCTTACCTTTTTAAAACTTTCGTGTCCATTTTGAATTAGAACTTTTATTGTAAAGTATCTCCAAACCTTTCTGAAAATAGGCAGAATAGGCATAAAAATTAATTTTTATAATACCAGTATAAGACACGGTAATACATAAAATTAGTAGTAGATTTTATAAGCTTTAAGGTTGTTAGCCTCACTTTTTTTCTTTGTTTTTTTTTTTTTAAACTTCGGTAAAGAATAGCAAAATATTGTTTTCCTGCAGCTAGGAACAAAGTCTTTCATTAGAGTACATGTATGTGATTTTATGTAATTGTTATGCTCCTGAAAGCCAAGTAAACTACTTTTACGTGAATCAGAGAAAAATACTTTCAAATGATGCTTGGAATGAATCTTTTTTAACTTTCTGAAAAGTAATTCATCATACTATTTTACTTGGAAAATATGTTTTATCCTGGAAGTTAAGTATTTTCCATATCAGGTTCTCCTAACATGACATCCAAAGGTTTAGAAAAATTACAGCTTGCATTTTTTTAGTTTGTCTTTTAGAATACAATGTTAAAATAATGTTTTAAATGTAGGTTTCCAAATTCAAGCTAAGGGATAAAAAGTTTAAACTAAAACTTACATTGCTTTCTAAACATATAAACCATTTAATTATTTAAGGTGATGATACCAAATTAATATATGTCCTAAATTACCTAATAAATTAAAATTTGCTATGTATTTTGCAGGTGAAAGACGAATGTCATACAGAGCACTTCAGGGGGCATTGATGATATATTTTTACAGGTAAAAGCAAATAAAAACAGGGGAGGTGAAAGTTAAAATTAAGGAGTGGGGCCGGCCCCATGGCTCACTCAGGAGAGTGCAGCGCTGATAGTGCTAAGGCCACGGGTTCGGATCCTAAATAGGGATGGCTGGTGCACTCACTGACTGAGCGTGGTGCTGACCACACCATGCCGAGGGTTGCGATCCCCTTACCGGTCAAATAAACAAATAAATAAATAAAATTAAGGAGTGAATATGCATAGTATATCACCTATGAGAGCTTATAAATTGCAATCATAGTTTAATATAGTTATTTAGTTATTGGTGAAAACTTAGAAAATAATTATTAGTGATATTTCAAGAGCTTTTTCTTTTTCTCTTAAATAGTAAGGGTATAACTTTATCCCTGTAGCAGATTAATCACATACACAATCAAATTAATCAAATATCCTTTTTTATTAAAATCTGTAAAATATTATGTGATCTTGTGTCCTAACAAGCCAAAGTTTAATCTCAGAAACTCAGTCATGAAAGGTGATTTGTCATTAAACAATGTTGTAGGGTTATTCTTGTTTTATAAAATGAAAATGAATGGATGAAATGAAAACACCTTATTAACTGTTGTTCTATTTATTCAGCAATTTCAAGTAAAGTTGTTTTCAGTGTCTCAAATGTTTGAGGCGTTCCTTAAATGTCCACCTGCTCTTACTCCACGGGGACGAAGTTCCCATCTTCATGGTTCATGAATTAATTTTGTCATAACAATGAATGGCACATAAGCAGAACAGCTTCAAATACCTATAATTTACAGGATGTCATATTTCTGTGTGTTTATTATATTTTTTGAATCCTCTCAAATCTTTCTCCAGAATGGCTACATAAACAAGATCTTTTGAATCTTTCCCTAAACAATAAGAAAATATATGCCAGTCAGGCTTATACGTACTAAGTAGAAATGTACTAAGAAAGCTGAAGAATTTGATGAAAAAAGGGAAAGAATACATTAGAGGAAATAAAAAGCAGTCTTTCTTTTTGTGTTTTAATATCTGCATAAAAGAAGCTTTTCGACCATTGTTAGCTGGGAAATCTTCTAAGATGGTCTATGTGTCTTCCTTCTAATAAGAATCAATGTAGGTATGACTCTGGTCACTTTATGAACATTACATGGAAGATTCTAGACTTCAAACAAACACTGCAAGTAGTACTGCCCCTATCTCTGTGATGAAGAAACTGAGATTGAGAGAGTAATCCAACGGTGTCACAGCACCTAAGAGGCAGAGTTGGCATTTGTTTCCTGAGCGAACTGATTGTAAAACTCATGTTCTTCCTAACACACTGGATTTGCTTGAATAGATTTCTTCTTCCTATTGTTTTTTCCTTTAGGGAAGAACCTAGGTTCCAGATCCCTTTTCAGCTGCTGACTTCTCTCATGGATATAGACACACTCATGACCAAATGGAGATGTAAGTCCTTTCCCCCACCCCCATATTCTTTCTCCCCCCATCCTGTTCCTTTACCCCCTTTCTCCTTCTATAGGTGTTTGAAGCCTTCTCTCCCGTCTCCTTCCTCCTGTGTGTGAGTGAGCTCTTTTATACAAGTCAGCTTGGCAGTTATTCTTTCACAGGGCCAGCTTATCCAGTGTGCCCAAGAAGCACAGTGCCCAAGTGGCACAGTGCCTAGGGCCCACAATACTTTTGGGTGTTGCTCATGAATATGTTTTGATTTATTTTATCAGAAGAAAAAATGAACTTTAGGTCAAAGAAAATGTTTTACTATATAGTAGCAATATATTCATCCTTTGCCAATGCAGATTTGAAATATAATTTTAATAGTTCTTGTTTCTTTTAAATGAAGGAAGGGACTCATAAAGGCAAAAGTGGCGAGGGTTCATGAAGTCACAGCATGGCCCTGCTCTCTCCTATTGTGTGCATGGGCTAAATGTGACGATAGCTGGAGGAAAGTGCATGTAGCCTGCAGTGTCTGCAGCACCCAGTGGGGTGCTAGGCAACCTGACTGGCTCATCTGGCTCTCACACCTCACATGTGAGCCTTCCATATGGCTAAGTGATATGGTGTCATCCTTTCCTCAGAAGCAATAATCATTGCCATCCTTTGTTTTTAGAACATTGTGGAACTAATAGAGTAAATTTGTGTGTTTGCCTAGATAACCACGTGTGCATGGTGCACAGAATGCTGGGCAGCAAAGCTGGTACTGGTGGGTCCTCAGGCTACCAATATCTGCGCTCAACTGTGAGGTAGGTGAGGGAAATCCTCCTTTTCATCTTGGTGTAAGTTACCAGTTCTTTGTTTCTCTCTATATACGTACATTGTCAAGGAAAAGCTATTTATACTGCTGTTGTCTGAACTGCTAACAGCACATTTGTAGTTAGATTATGATATTCCATTGGATCCTTTGGAAATAACCGATAACATTTTTAATCATAGAACTTCATTATTTTGATCCTGTGACAAAAAAGGGCACAGTACTTTTTGTATGACTTGTGAGGCTATGAAAGAGTTAACAGTATCAGGCAGAAAAGTCTTCAACCCATTCTGGCTCAAGTTTTGACTAGATTAAAATTTTTCTCATTAATTCCACTAATGTCTTCTTGGCTAGATGAATGACATAGCTAAAGTAGTTTCTGATTTCCCAATGTGACTCTATTTTACAGTATAAAACTAATTCCATCTGCTCCAAACGGTGCCCTTTTCATAGTGTTTACAAGGAAAGAGGTCAACATTTGTTGAGGGTATAAAACATGCTAGGAAGTTTTCTAAGGCATTTACATTTTTATTTTATTTAATATTCACAGTATTAGATGAATAGATAGATATGCCAGGAAACTGGAAAACTTACATGGTTCCTAGGAAAAGAAGAATCAGCTCAAGACTAAATTAGATACTCACGTTTAGTCCCCCAAATTCTTTAAATGCATTGCTTTTATCCCTACTCTTACTACCAGATTAGCTCATTTATGAAGTACACAGGTTCAAATTTTTATCCTTTTTACACATCTTCACTTTCTCTAGGAATCAATTCTGTAAGCATGAGTTAATGATTGTACACAGTGAGCACGTGTGGTAGGAACAACGACCACAATCAACATTTCTAGTGTGTCCTTATCTCATTGAATCTTCACAAAAGGCCTGGCCAGCGGAAGGGATTATAGCTTTCATTTCACAGAGTTACAAACTGGGGCACTGAGGTTTAAACAACTTGTCCAAGATCCCACAGGTTGTAGGTGACAGAACAAGGATTTGAACCCAGATTTATTTGACTTTAAAGGCAAAAATGTTCTTCCTCTATAAAACTTCAATAGTTAAAATAGTTGATGAATAAACACAAAAGCAATTTTAATGTTAAAACCACTTTTATAGACACTTATTATGACTCTAAGATGGTATTCCAATTTACTAATCCTTTCATGGCAGTTGCTTGCAGCTACTTTGCAGTTGGAAAATATATTTCAATGAGTCACTAAAAACTCATGTGCCTTAAATATATTACTTTGCATACCATCCTTTAGAAGTAGGAAATGAGAGCACACCTTTGTCATTATAAAGGTAGTATGACAAGAATAAGACTCTGGATTTTTATCCGGACCAACCAAAACACAAAATACTGTTTTATGGGCATAAACTTTGAATAGGAAATAAAAACTAAGCAGTCTTAAAGCTCATACTACATCATATCCAATATAATATGTATATACGATACAACATATAATATATAAAGTAATATAATTGTAATATTGAATACTAATTATTTATGGAGAATATTATCTGGTAAATGAAATTGGTATGGAAAATTTTAAATATTTCACGTTAACAAATCTAAAACATCGGCATAAATGTGTTTCTCCAGTGACAGGTACAAGGTGTTTGTAGATTTATTTAACCTTTCAACATATCTGGTTCCCCGACACTGGATACCGAAGATGAACCCCATCATTCACAAATTCCTTTACACGGCTGAATACTGCGATAGCTCCTACTTCAGCAGTGATGAATCAGAATAAAATCATCTGCGAAATCTATGAAGAACATTGATTTCTCAGTCTGTTTTTGATTTTCTATGAATTTTCATGAATATACAAAGAATCTTAATGTAATGTATGTACATACATAGTTCAGTCCTGTGTTGTTCTGACTCAATTCTGAAAATAATTTTATTACCTTTTATGATGTTTAAGATGATATCAGATTAAGCATTATGATGAGAAATAACTATTAAATCTTAACATTGTACATTAGGTATTTTCCTATTAAAAATCAAATTTCCTCTGATACTTACCTTAATGTAGCTACTTAATGTAATCATTATCTCATTGTTTCATAATTTATAAGCTTGTAAACTTCACTTATTTCAAATATTTTATACAATAAAACATGTCATTCTGCACAGACTTAATTAAACAAAATTTTTTAAATAGTAAAATTTGTCTTTTGCCGTGTATTGTTTTTGAAACATTATTTGTATTTGTTAGGAATCTTGATGTCCAATGACAGAAATCTATTTGAATCTTGATTAGAGGGGATTTACTGGATAATTACTCCATTAGCTCATAGAATTCAAAGAAGCATTGTCCAACAAACCTTAAAAGAGAGCCCAGGGAACTCTGATGCCACAGGCACTGGATCCAATTCCTGGAATAATATATTTCTGGGAAACTATGAGGATCCTTTTTGTCTCATCTCTTCTTCTCTGTAGGTGTTAACGTTATTCTTTCCTGTCATAGACCAGTTCCTTCCTCTGGCTGGGCCCCAGCTTCCAGAACCTTTGGGCTCACAGAAGGGCAAAGGTGCTCTTTTTCCCAGTTTTAATGCTTGTGGTCTCAGAGGTAGAGTCAACTTTACTGCATGGCAGAATTGAGGTAGGAACAAGTTAACAGTTCCCTCAAAGAAGGACAGTCTTTCCAGAAGAAGGGACAGGTAAACAGACTAACAGCGATCCACTTCACTTCTAATTAAAAGTATTAGACTAAGAGTTTAGATCAGACATGAGTTTTATTCTTCTTTTTCTAGTTTGGCCAGGATATTGGTAATACTTAGTTAAGCTTCTTTTAAGGGAGGGAATACATAATATTATCAAATGAATCTAAAGAGTACATCAACCTTGACCTAGAGTGATTATAGCTAGCAAGCAGTAAGTTCTTGATTTTAATTACAAGCTTTTTCTGATAAGAATCATATCATCTAGTTTGTCTCTAAATTACATATAATTGTTCTTGCCTACATCACTTTTGTGTGTTTGTTTGTGTGTGTATACAGAGTACAAGATGGTGGTTAAGCTGAAAAAGTACAGAGGCAAACAGCATGGTGTCTAAAGACACTAGCTTTGAAATCAGCAAGCTTGAGAGCAAATTTTGACTCTGTCATTTATTAAACAATCCACTCTGTTACAAACACAATTGAAGCCCCAGTTTCCTATCTATGTGGGGATAAAAGAACTTCTTTTATAATCTTTGCTTTTTCTCATAAATAATGAAGAAATATGTTCATAGCTGTTTTGCCACCAAAATCTTTTGGAATCTTGGAGTAAATGCTATTTCTCAAGGTTTATCCCTCTTTTAGAATGCAGAGTGATTGGACTTGGTTCTTCACATCTATATTTCTTAGTGTGACTAAGCTATTAGTTGCAAGAGTTTTTTTCAAAGAATATATCAGTAATTCTTAATGTAAATACCAAAACAGTTTATAATGCCAGTTCCTACCCTTGCCCCATTCAAACTTGCTTCTAGTGTTGAGGATCCACTTTAAATTATAATTCTTAAGTGGGATAAAAATCACTGTAAGGTTGACTAATTTCGCATTCATGTTGAGATTTTTGAAAACCCACATCCAGGAACATGTTGATGATTTTCATTATGACTCTCAATTATTATGTGAAGATTTCATAACTTTCCCTAAGCCTTACTGGGTGAAGTCTAAGTAGTTTGCTATGGCTGGAGCACATCATCTGCCTGTGTAGCGCAGAAGCAACTATGGTTGAGAAGGCAGATAGGAACTTCTTCATGAAGGCTCATTTAAAAGAGTTTGCATATTATTTTAGAGGCACTGGGGAGTCCCTAAATGGTTAAAAGACAAAACAAAACAGAGGAATGACATGATAACTTTTAACTTTTAAAACTTTTAACTTTTATTAACTTTTAGAAATGTAAATCCAGGGGATATGTAGTAAATGTATTATAGTAGCATCCTTCATAATCACCTGACCTCTGGTCTGCAGATTATACTTTAAGAACCTCTAGATTAAGGGACATGGAGTTTAGTGAGTAGACTACTGGATAGTGGTGGTAAGAGATATTTAAGAATATGCGTGTAAGAAAGGACAGTAGAAGTGGAGAGGAGGTAGGTGATTAAGTGATGGGTTACCAAGGTATTTTTGACCTGATTAAATACCTAGAATTTCCCTTAATTCTATTGATTGAGTGATTACATGTTGATGCTGTTAACCAAAATAGAGATTCTAGGACATGAAGGAGCTTTTGGGGGGCTGGTGGTGAGGTAGGATGATAAATGCAATATTGGAGACATTGAGATTAAAGTGTCCTATGGAGAAAACCAAAAATTGGATGTATGGATTAGGAGCTGAGAAAAATCTGGGTGGCTGTTAAGCACACTAATGCTGTGTTAACAAAATGTAAGCCATACTCTCAAGGAAAGGTTCTTTTTAACCCAAAACCAAACACAGGTTGTTTTATTATAAATGTCATCAAAATCCAGAACACCTGAGAGGTATTATTTTGAGATTTTAAAAATCCTTTAGTGTTTAGAACAAAATATTAGAAAAATATTTATATCATATAGAAAGTTAGTAACTGAACACAAACTAGAATAATCAGGACATAGTTCCTTTCTGGCATATTTGGATAATTAGAATATTTATTAAAATGTCACATTCATCATCCTGGAATATTTCTAAACCTGAGTCAACACATATTTTTTTGAGATTGCTTCTGGTTGATGTAAAAAAAGAAATACATCATTTTGTTTTTGATTTCCTTTTTCCAATAAGGTGGATGAATTAATAAAGACCAAACATGAGAGGAAAAATGGAATGTCCTTGGATATTTTAGTGGTCTTTGCTGCATTTAAATTTTCATCTTTGTTAAGATATTCTACATTAGAAAGCAGTCACGAAATTGAGAAAAACATACATACGTAATATCTGATATGATTTTCTTATATTAACTCATTTAGTATAGTTGTGTTTACATGCAAACAGAAGTTCAACTCATTTGCTCTGAGGTTCTCACACAGCCACACAAGAAGTGGCTTGTTTCTCAGTTGCAGGATATAAGCAGCACATAGTGTCCTTTCTACGCACACAGGGTTATTGATCTCTGCTGAGGATACAAGTTAATCAGAGCTGCAATAGTGCCTCAGTACTTGAAACTACTTACGCCATTAATGAGGCAAGAGAAATCATAGGCATCAAGACGGGGAACCAAGTAAAAGCCAAAGCAATGCACACAGAAGCAGTCGGGATGGAGACTGGAAAAACTAAGCAGATAACTTAAACAGAGTCTGGGAAAATCACATTGGGGCTGATATCCTAGGTTAAGAGATTGGAGTTTGAAAGGAGGGTTCCTACACATCATGGGAGGAAGAAAGACTCAAGGTTCTGATGTTGATAAAGGGCTTAGAAACAAAGGGAGCCAAGTGATTAGAAAATAGAAATGGAAAGTAAACCATCAGACTTAGTTTTTTAGTCAGGAAAGCCAAACTCAGGAAAACTTAGGAGTTACAAAGTAAAGAGTAAGAGAAGGAGAGTGACAAAATGTGGGAAAATAGTGTATTCTCTAACATAGGAAGAACAAAGTAAGAAGTAATATCTATTGAATTCCTCCAGACAATGAAAATGTCCAAATAATAACTTGTCTTGCTGGAATGCTACTTGAGATTTATTATTGCATAGTTGCCATACTGGTTATTTCATTTCAGTCAATTTAACCATTTCTTTTGAAAAGAGGTTTTGCCCTTTTGTTTCCTTTTGCATTGTTCAAAGAGCAAGCATCATTTGTTGAGGTAAAGCAATTGGTATTTCAAACTCTTATCATACACCATCTCAAATGGCTGCTAATATAATTGCTCAAGGCACATATAATTTAAGGTTAGCCATTCTTGTATATTGGGGTAATCTAAGGTTAATGATTACATTCTACAAAGGAAAATAAATTCTTATCACTTCATTAATCCTACCTAAATTTTCTCAATAAGAACAAACAACAAAAACAATAAGCAAACAAAAACAATCAATAGCTTCTTCAAATGGAAAGGGACCTAAAATATCTCCTAATCTGACTTTCCTCCCAGAGTAGGCAACTGTTCCATAGATTTCACTGCAGGCTGGGGTGCTGGGGCTTTGGCTGTCCATCCTCTTATAAGAAGGGAACATTACACGACTTAGTTTAAATAGTATTACTAGGTTGTAGAACCTTTTCTAGGTAGTGCTGAAGCTTGAATTGAATAATGCTTAGAATGAAGTACTATGTTACAATGCATTATGAAAACCTTCATTTTTGTAGCTGTTTCCTGATCTGCCCAACGTATCACACAAAGACAGCAGAAACGGAATCTGCAATACCTAAGGAAAAAACATTTTTAGTATGAGTCTATTTCCTCTTTAGATGCCTTTTAAGTAGAAAATTAAAACTTAATTTTCATTTTGTTTCAGAAAGTGTTAGTATCTACTAAGAAAATAACTTAATGGTTATTGCTACCTGTCAGTATAAAGATGGCAACCTCAAAAGCAAATATTAGAAGAGATGATGCCTGACATTTTTGTTTATAAAAAATGTCTTATTCTGGTGATAGAACAGGTCACTCGCATGGGTTCTACTTTATGGAAAGATTGAACAATAGTCACTAGAGTGAATCAGTACAAAGTCATAGTTTTCTTTAACTCTCTTTTATCAGTCTCACAATCTGGAAGGTTCTGCAATTTCTAAAAAGTTGTCCATATGTTAGAACTGATTGTAACAAGAAATTAGTTGTTCTCATATGCAATTTAATT